ATAATTCTTTAAGGATTGATGACAATCTTCCACCAAATAAAAAAAAGAGAAAAACCTAAATAAATAAATCATAAAAATGAAAATCATAAAACATTTAACAAAGTCTTCAATCCAATAGGGATTATTTTTAGCCAAAAGAAATCATTTTTAGTAATTAGGTTGTTCTTCGATATAGTGGTTATGTCAAGACTTAAAGTTAATTCGATATTTGAATTTATATGTCTCTTGACAAAGAGGTCCGATGATCGTTTCGATACAATGCTACACTTAAAAATAAAAAACTTAATTTGGCTTGGAAAATTTTGAGTTTTAAATCGAAAAATAATGTGGCACTAATAAAACACATTAGAAGATGAATTTAGGACTAAACTAGACATTGTATCTTTCTTCAAGAAAAGTTGCTTTTGGATTATTAGATGTCTTCCTAAAAATGTAACCAACTCATTACTTTAGAATCTATGAACAATGCTTATTTTAGGTTCCTAGGTCCTTCAATACTAGGTGGCAACTCAAAATTTATAAATAATTTTATAAATAAATCTTAAATTTTTCGAGAGTCTTGTCGATGTTCGATGGCGACGGACAATTTGAATCATTTTTTTTCTTGTTCTTTTTTTTTTCAAAGAGAGAAGATTTGATTTTCTTAAGTATTCAATTAGAGAGATTCTAATCAATGTGAGAGACACTTGTGGGTTCCTCCTTCGTAACCTTTTGACTAATTAGTGTGCATATTACAAACTTAGATTAAGGTTATGTACTTTAGCATGATTTGTATGAATTTTGCAAATTGATTTAAGTTGGTTTTTCACTTTTGGCTTGTAGAAAAGTCATAAATATATTTGGTTAGAAATTATTTTGAATTTAAACAAAAAATTTGTTAAGAAAGTGAGTTAAAATTACTTTAATCAAAAGTTGAAAATTTTAAACTTCTAACTTATGCACTTTTCTTTTTTTTAAAAAATAAAAAATAAAAAATTGGAGTCATATTTATCAATTAAAAATCATAATTCAAAATTTTTGTCGACGCATACCCTAAATATCTAATCTAAAATTTGTTTACTTTTTATGTGTTAATGAATTTCTATCTTCTTTTTGAAGAAAAAATAAATGCAAAACGAGAGAAAAAAATGCATTATAGACAAAGTTATTGGGAAATTATTCAAAGGAACATATGTAGAAATAGAGACATACTAACTCTGGTTATAATATAATATATAAAAGCTCTTCCGAAAGAATCTCGACCACTCATAGTTGTATGAGACAACATATCTTCTAATGTTATTATAGAAAATAGCTTTGGCGAGTGGATGCCATCCAATTATGAGCTGTGAAGCAACTTTTCTCATGGGTGGCCTAAATTTGGGATTAGCAACCAAGCATGCACATGCTATTTTGGAGATGCGGACTACACTATCTACAACTTGATTTTTAGGAAGTGAGATCCTTTGGTCTATCACGTCCTTCAACAACATATGTTGGTGGATTTCCGAGGATGATGATGAGGGAAATTTCGATGATGAAAGAGATGAGATAAGATCACCTGGATGCCTTCTCATAATTACTTCCATTGTTATCACTCCAAAGTCGTGGACATAGCATTTTTCATTCACTTTCATTATATAAGCCAACTATGTAGAAAAATTAGCTTTATAATTAAAGTAGCAAATATATAAAGAAAAATTTATTGATTGATGTATCTATATTTTAGGAAAGAAATAAAGAAATGCACTTAGAGTCGTGTATCCAAAGGTGCCAGCAAATGAAGTCCGAGTTGCTTGAGTCTAGCATTAAGAGCCTTGCCATGCCAAAATTAGAAACACGAGCCTTACATTCTTCATCCAAAAGAACATTATTGATAGAAATGTCTTGATGAATGATTGGAGGAATGCAATCATGATGCGGATAGGATAATACACCGGCCACCCCTTTGACGACATTGAGCCTTTTAATCCAGTCTAACTCCGTTGCCTTATCTTTTAAAATATTCCTCAAGCTTCCCTCTCTATGAACTCATAAACTAGAAATGAGTGCTTTCCATATGAGCAGAAATCATATAATTTCATAATATTTCGATGTTATATGTCGATTAACACACAAACCTCACCTCTAAAAGTTGTCAAATTGATGAACTCATCCTCTTGTGATTAGCGAAGATTCTTCCCAACAACCACTCGATCCGTTAACAACACTTCTTTGTAAACAATTTTATAACCTCCCTCCCCAATATAGTAGTTGGAATTGAAATATTTGGTGTCTTGAATGATGTTTTTGTAAACCAACTTCACATCATAACTCCATAATATAAATATATATTGACATTGTCTCTCATCCGATTAGGTCGTTCTATTTCTAACTTTTTGGTGGAGAAAGTGAAAACCTCCAACAATTATTAACAATAGAAAGAGATCGCCCAATAAAAGTGGCACCATTAAAATAACTCTTCTATTTTTCTTTTGTGCACCTTCTTTACTACTTTTGAGATGAGAATGCCAAGGTTGTAGATCGCTAGCATTGCCACGGAGGCTTGTATTATTTACAAATTCCTCAAATGAAGCTTTTTAAAAAGCTTTGATGTTTGGAATTGGGCCCTACAGCTCATTGTAAGATATGTCCATAATTGTCAAAGTGGCCAAATCTTCAAAAGTTGTTGGAATAAAACCGGAATGCATGTTGTGAGAGAGATTCGAGTATTTTAGAATTTTTAATTGACCAAGTTACCATGGTATCTCTCTTGCCAACGATTCCAACCGAGATCAAGTTCTTGAAGAGAATGTAAGAGGCCTATTTCAAGCGGATCGTTTTTTATGAATTTGTTATAACTTAGGTTCAGCTTGCAACAAGTTAAGCACTTTTCAAGTTGTTGTTAAATTGACCCATTTAGATCATTTCTAGCTAAATTAAGGAATTAGAGTTCTAATAGCATCTAAATTTTAGATCGAATGACATTTAAAAGACAATTGTTATTAAGAGTAAACTTATGCAATAACTTCAAATTCCCCAATTCTTTAGGAATCTTACCCTTAAGTTGATTTAATGATAGGTCAACCAATCATAATTGGGTTGCTAATGCAAGCTCCGATGGTATCTCATTGGATATATTATTGTTAGAGATTTTTAGGCTTGTCATATTATGGCACTTACCCCATTTTGGTAAAATCTCAACATACAAATTATTATAGCTCAAATCGATGTAGTTTAAGTAAGGGTAAATGCCAAAATTTTTAGTTATATTCTTTGTTAGTTGGTTCCAATCAAGCCTAATTCTTAATAAACTAGTATAGTTATATAAGCTTTTGGATATTGGGCTAGAGAAATGGTTATAGTATGTTATAAAGTTTTTAAGTAAACCTTATAGGCATAGATCTTATGGCAAACGACCAATGAATTTGTTGTTTACCAAGTGCAACTCTTTACAAGTGTGAGAGTTTATTCATATTTTGGGATAAGTAACTAGATAGTTGGTTTAAATCAAAATAAAACTTTGACAAGTTTTTCAAGTTTTCTATCGAAGTTAGGATAGTACGGGTTAAAACATTAACGGATAAGTCAAGTTCATTGAGAGACTTTAGCAATCCAATTTCTTGAGGAATGGAATCGATAATTTGTTACCCCAAAGATAGAGAATGAATACGTTTCTCATATTTCCCATAGAATTAGGGATCAAATCGGTGAGATTGTTTTCTCTTCTAATTAAACACATGGTAATGGTGGATTTGTGCAAGTTTCACCTAACAGTTTAAACTTTTGAATTGAGATGATTCTTAATCACAAAGCTCTAATACCATATCAAAAAAACTATCTCAATTCGGAAAGATTAAACTATTAAGTGAAATCTTAGAAATGATTTTATATTACTCTTTAATGGTTTTGATCGACGTTTCAAATGCGATTGTGGTATGGTGGGTTGTTGCAAACATTAATATGCTATTAAGTTCAACAAAATGGGTCCTTTTATTCTATTATATATATATCTTTGCTTTCTTTTTTTTTTCTATTGATATCAAATTAAGCTTGACCAACCAATAATACCTTGCTATGTTATTGAATGGGGTTGAATTTTCTTTCTATAATGGATCGATGCACTCGATAAGGATATAAAATTGCAATGTATATCCTTGACTTTATGTATATCTATAACTATGTATATCCCTTACTTGATAGAAGTTATGAATAAGCATAAATCTCTGGAAACTCTATAAGTATAGATCTTTAATAAACAATATTTATCTTTGGATCATAAGTAAATCTTTTATGGTATAAGAGTTTTAAGCGAGTTTAAACACCTAGCTTGATCCAAATTACAAAGTTCTTTCTTCCATGACTAATCCAGCCACTACCCCATAACGAGTCCCTTTCCCATGCCAAAACATTAGTACCTCACCAAGTACGAGTATCCTACACTCACAAACTCAAACTACCTAAATATCACTCCTCGGTTATCCATCAAGCTCACTTTGGCAACCTACCCATTATTGAAGACACAACTCTTACCACTCGTTATAAGGATACAAGCTTGCTCATCACATTGATGGTAGCCTTTCACCACCTACCGTTACAAACTTAGCTTATACCGAGTGGTACACACAAGATCAAGGCATCCTTAACTAGATTGTAAGCTCCCTTTCGCCAACCTTGTCTTACAACTTGTAGGAATCAACATAGCCTATGAGTCTTGGGATAAACTTGGAACCATATACTTATCTAGCCTTAGAACACAAGTGCACCAACTGCATATAAGCATGATTGGGTTATCATAACAAAAATGATGATATTTTAACTTACATGCTGCATGCCAAATAGCTTTATGATTGACTTACTATGCTACAACACATTATCGCAGAAGATGACCTCGTTGATTTTATCTTACGTGGTTTGGTTCCTACATATCATCCCTTTATGCACAACAGTGAAGCTAGACTTACACCAGATCACATATGATAATTTATTTTTCTTATTGCCGAGTGAAGAATTATAGCTAGTATGCCATGAACACTTATTAGAAAAAATGCTCCCAACGACATAGTTTTCTCGCTCGTGGGTTCAATCCCTCTTATGAGAGAGGACATTCCCATGGCAGAAGCAAAGGCACTCGGTTTTGGAAGATCACAGTTCACATATCATACCACGGATAACGATAGTTATGCCCGCCGCATATGCTATAATTATAAGGGTATTAGACACCATGTTGGCAATGTCGCTCTCCCAAACAAGTACCATGACATACATACTTCTAATATCTCACCCAAACATGAATCTAATTTGGCATCCAAATAGCCCGACCATAAATCACCATAATCATGTGTTGTTAACATCAAAGCAACACACCATTTAAAAGTCGATATGAAAAACATGGGCATCCATTCCGTGTACAATGATCTAGAGGAAGTAACAATTAACAATGGTACAAATCTTCTTATTACTTGCATAGGCTTACATATATTTTTTTAATTAATAACACACAATTTTCACTTTATAATATTCTTCTTGTTCTACGAGCTTTTAACAATTTTCTATTAGTTAATGCCTTTATCAAGTCTAATAATGTTTCTCTTGAATTTTTTCCGACTTGTTTTTTGGTAAAGGATATCGACATGAAACAGATTTTACACATTGGGAAGCTTAATGATGGACTTTATTTGATGGCGATAAGTCATTCTCTAAGTAACTCACCACAAGCCTTTTTGATCTCCTTGTCTACTTGGCATGCTCGTATTGGTCATGCGTCATTCAAAATAGTGCAACAAGAATTTAGTTAGTCTAGTATTAATGTGTTTGTTTGAGATTCTATATCTCTTTATCATGCTTATAGTATCGAAAAATTCACAAGTTACTTTTCCCTAAGTCTTCTTTTTAAGCATCTAGCCCATCTTCTCGTTCCATCTCTTAATGCAAATTATTATTATTATGTTTTATTCTATGATCATTTTAGAAAATACTCTTGGGTCTATTTTATTAAATATAAAGTTATTAACTCGCTCTATCAATTTTTGACATCATAATTGAAAAATCTTTTGAAAGATCAGTTAAAGCATTTTAGGCCGACTCGAGGGGAATTTCAAAGCCTAGCTAAATACTTGTCCGACAATGGAATAACCTACCATAATTCTTGTCCAAAAACCCCGAACAAAATGGGTGTGCTCGAGAGAAAACACCGACACATCACCGAAATAGGATGAGCATTACTTCACCATGCCTCGCTTCCATTAAAATTTTGGGAACAAGTTTTTGCCACTTTAGTTTATTCCATTAACCATTTACCTACATCATGGTTAGCACACAAAAGCCCTTTTGAAATTTTTTTCATTAGTTACCAAAATTTGAGATGCTTTGTTTCTTCGGTGCTTATACTATTTTTAATTATGTTCTTATACCAAAAATAAGTTAGAACTTGGTCCTATAGATGTTTTTTTTTTTTTTTGGTATAGTACATTGCATAAGGGGTATAAATGTTTTGATCTAGTGAAACAAAATCTATATCTCATGTCATGTTTTGTTTGATGAACAGATTTTCTCATATCGAGTCGGAATGAGCAAAAATTTGGTGTCTTTTGATCCCCAAGTCGCTATCCTACCGAACTCGCCAATTATGCCCATGCATACTCGCTCCTTTCCAATCTATTACTCCACAAATAGGCTCAACTACCCAACCGCCCATCAATCAACCCACACCTCCTACTACATCTCTAAGTCTCACTCGTCTAGTAAGCCATTAAGAAGCTTTCTCCCCCAACCCCAAACCCAAATGGCATGCATTTACAACAGATTCACAAAAGCCCAATCCAAGAACCAACCACTAAAACCCAAAAGTCCACAAGAAACCCTAAAACCCATGATTGCCCACCCATCCATTTACATATTGACCTTACTAGTTATCCCTCTTTTTCTAATCATAAAAATGTAACAACCATCGCACCTTATAAAAATAAGCTCTTAGATCGACCATAGCCAACCCAAAACATTTCACTAGTATCTCCATTAAACCGACCTATTATACAACTCGCTCAAAAGTACCCAACCTAGCACCAAGCAATGGATGAATAGATGGTTGTGCTATAATCCAATTTCACATGGACCCCGGTTCCACAATCTCAAGCATCCAACATTGTAAGGAATAGATGGGTTTATAGAATCAAGATGCTACAAGATGGGTCAATTGATCGATTTAAGGCGTGCTTTGTTGCCAAAGGCTTTCATCAAAGACAAGGTATTGATTATATTGATACCTTTAGCCTTGTTGTCAAACCGATAATAGTAAGGTTGGTCATGTCTATAACGATCACGAATGGATGGATAGTGCAATAAATGGATGTGTCTAATGCATTCTTACATGGAAATCTGGAGAAGCCGGTCTATATGGAGTAACCACGGGGCTATATAGACCTTGAATTTCCAAACCATGTCCGTTCCTTGAAGAAGTCATTGTATGGTCTTAAATTGGCACTTAGAACTTGGTATGAATGTCTAACAACGGAACTTGTTCATCTTAGGTTTAGGAGATCACGAGCTTGATACATTCTTGTTCATATACAAAAGAGGTACAAACACTATATACTCGTCGTATCTACGTGGATGATATACTTGTCACTAGCAATAATGGCAATCTCATTAGGCATGTCAAGATACAATTGCGGTAGAAATTTTTCATTAAAGACTTGGGCAAGCTCACCTATTTTCTAGGAATTGACACCCATTGGTGCAAGGGAGGATTGATCTTAACTAAGTCCAAATACATCAAAGACATCCTCCGAAAGGAAAATATGCATAAGGTAAGTCCAATTTCAACACTACATATGCCTCTACTAAATTGATGAACACAAGGACATTGTTTACCGACCCAACGTTGTTTCATAGCATTGTAGGGGGGCTAAAGTGCCTTGTTTTAACACGATCGAATATCTCTTATGCAATTAATAAAGTTGCACGGTTTATGCATGCTCTTACGAATGATCACCGGTTAGCTATAAAGAGAATCTTGCATTATATAGCTTTCATACCTAATCATAGTTTACATTTCGGACTTACAACTACTTTGACCATAAATACATACACCGATGTGGACTAGGGTGGTGATGTGCATGATCGAAAAAGCATTACAAGGTATGCTATTTATCTAAGTGGCAATGCGGTGTCTTCGTTGTTCTAGGAAACAAAGAATAGTTGCACGATCATCCACGAGTGCAAAATGTTGTGCCTTGGCTACGACAACATCCGAGGTTATTTGGATTCAATCCCTCTTAAAGGAAATAGGAATTACCATTCTCGTGGCACTTATCATTTGGTGCTACAATATATCCGCCACCTATCTTATCGCGAATCTTGCATTTCATGCTCGCTTGAAACACTTAGAGATTGATTTTCACTTCGTAAGAGATAAGGTGAAGAAGGAACTAGTGGTGAGCTTTATTCCAACCAATGATCGGATTGTGGATGTCCCGACAAAAGCTCTATCCAAACGGCAATTTCTAGTCTTATGAGACAAGCCGACTCGGAATCCACTACTCGACTTGAGGAAGGATGATATGGATATAACACTAGTGTGTATATCCCTCACTTCATGTATATTTATTGTTGTGTATATCCCTCACTTGATAGAAGTTGTGAATAGGCATAAGTTTTTGTAAACTATGTCTCTGCAAACTATATAAGTACATATCTTTAATACATAGTATTTATCTTTGAATCACAAGTAAACCTTTCATGGTATCAGCACCATGCATGAAGTAATTGGAATTTCGTCATCAATTAGTCTATAACTGTTGAGGTTCTTCCTATGGTTAGCAAAATAAGAAAAACTCTTATTGCTTGAATTAAATGAATTTGATATATAGCAAACATCACAAATTATTATTTTCATCATCATCATTATTTGGTACTTGTGAAGGAACAATGGGGTTTTGACATGGAGAATTTCTCTTGAATTCTGGGGTATATGAATAGCCCACTGATTTTTTTTTTAATGCACAATATAATATCATTAATATCAAAATGGTCACAAGTACATCATTATTTTCGCATTACAAATATAAAAACTAAAACAATATAGTGGAAATTGAAATTTATTTTGTTACTTTCATCAACAAACGAAAAAACTTCAACACTTGCTATTTTTGCAGGAATTCGTAGCATCGCACGCTTATAAAAGAGTTTAAACCACCATAAATAAATGGAAGAACTAGCTATAGTATCAGATCTCATTGATTGAAAATCCACATCCATGGGTCAGTGCCAAAAATAAGGTAAAAAAGGACAATATTGACTGTCTAAAAATAGGGAAAAAAGAAAAAGAACTAGTTATACTCTTTTTTTCCTATAATTCTCTTGATAATTTGATGATAAATTCTGATTAACGTGAAACATAATATTGACTGAGTAAATTTAGAGGCCCGAAGTCATGCATGAAGTCCTCATAAATGTTCCTAGTCGTCATCGCACAAATTGCAAAATAATCGTAATTGCTGGACATTAGAAAAGGCATTCATTCACCTTTAAGTTTTTCTGAGAAATTTAGTAGGAAGGTGTGAAACCAATCATGTCAAACTGGACCAAGACACAATTGACTTGTTGTCCTCTCAGGCCACACCATTGGACTTGCTCGGTGCACCACTTTCCACAACAGGATTTATAATGACACAAATGTTAACTACAAATTTACTGTTTCCTTGAAATATAGCTGCCGATGAACAACAGCAAGTTTTGATGCACACTTGTGGGTTCCTCATTCGTATCTTTTTCTTGCGTGTTAATACCATGCTTAATTAGATTATCGGCTACAACATTTCTTACTCTTTTCATTCTAGCAAAACAAACAAATTTCAACGTACTAATAGAAGCGATAATACAATTGAAAATAGATTCTTACTTTCAAAACCTGTCATATGAACTCTTGCGAATTCAACCAATGATACACTGCTGCTGCTGAATGGGGTTGAATTTTCTCAGTAATATTGGACTGACTGATCCATCATGCATGAAGTAATTGGAATTTCATCATCAGTTAGTCTATAACTGTTGTTGTTCTTCACATGGTTAGTAAGACTCCTATTGCTTGAATTTGATGAATCTCGCAGCAAACCTCACTAATTATTATTATTAGTATTTTTCGGTACTTGTGAAGGAAAATCAATGATCTGGATTTACCTAACATGATATATGATGTTACTTCTAACTTGAGGGGAGCAAATCCAAGAGTCGGAGGTGCAAAATCCTTTTACTATGGAAACAAATTATTGATTATTTATGACTAATTTTCGAGTGTGAAATATTGCTACTGATTA